TTCTCGGGCGCAGGACTCCTCTGGGCGCCGGAGGACTCGTCTGGCCTCTGGATGCTCTTTATTTTACGTTACACCCGCGGAAAGGCTTTCGTTTTAACCGCGGGGATAGGAAGTTTCGCGCCTGCAAGGGACTGCAACGCTTTCCTCGTAGCACAGGGGCTTCCCTTTCCCCAGCCTACCCTCCTTAGCTCCAAATCGAGGGCGAAAAGCACAATAAAAGCGGAGGGGAAGGGGCTCCGGCGGGAGGACGCTTTCCTGGAGCCGGCGACAGGTTTCTCCAGCTCCTTTCCTGCAGTGAGGCTCCGGTCCCGGCCCTCCGGGGGCCGCGCATATCCGTTGTGACCGGAAGCGCTGCGCGGGAGGACAGCGTCGGCCGGGGACGCTGCACCTGATCCCCCGCCCGTCCCGGCCGCGATCGACCTCAGCGACCTGAGAGCTGGAGGGTGTTTGTGTTTGCTGCAAACCTCTCGAAAGCAAAGCCGAGTGCCGCCTGAAGCTGCCAATGACAGAGCAAATGCCCCACCTTCCTGAGACATCAGCTTTTAAGACTCGCATTGTGATGCATTTGTCTCTTCTTGCCTATATCTGCATCCAAAGATGTCGAGCCTGACTGAAGCCCAGGTCTGTGTATGTAAGGGAGCTCGCAAGCAATGACCAAGAAGGTTAAAGTCAACAGGACTAAAAGCACAGTTGATGGGCAGACGTGGGCGCTACTGGAGCAGGAGCAGCTCACAACCCCTCCAGGAGCCCCAGAGCTGGCACTGGCATCACAACTGGGGTCTGACATTTGTAAAACGGAAAGGCTTCCATTTTTTACTGTGCATGGTTTAGTGCTTTTGAAATGCTGTCATTCAAAATGTCAGTCAGAACACTCTCCAGAAATATGCTCTGAACAAATCACCTCAACATGAGTATGGCTTATACCCTGATCACCAATGTATACCCCTCATTGTTTATATATGTTTAAGACAAACACTTCTTCCTAGCTTTTTTCCAGCTTCTTCTCCAGAGACCTTTATTTTCATACCTTTGAGTTTAGGCCTTGTCATTTTTCAATGATGTACAAACATCACAGGGCAGAGACTGGGCCCTGTGCTTCTGGAGCGATGTGGTACACAAGTAACTCCTGCTTGTGGTAACTCAGTCCTGCAATTTTTTACCCAACCAAGCAAAGTACCCTCTGGCAAAAAGCAGTGGTTTTGGTTTTGTTTTTAAAACAATTGCACAAATAATAGGAAAAGCATGGCACAAGACAGAAGCAAGAACATTTATGCAAAAATCTTCAAAATGCTTAATGGAAAACGACAAATAGTTTGTGCTGTAATGCTGAGAAAAAGGGGAATCAAACTATTATTTATTACATATTACAGTGTTTTACAGATATTAGTTAGCCCTGTCAAAAATTACAGTAAGAACAAATGAAAACTCAAATCTAAGAGGTGCAACACATGGCTCAGAGTGCAAAGCCAGCTTGACCTTGGAGAGAGGACATCTTTTCAGCAGTAGAATTGTGAATTTTTCACTCCTAATCTCACACCAATTTCCTCAAGCAGGGAAGCAATTCAAATTGCTGTTTCAGAACTACAAGATTCAACCACAGCGTGCAGCACACAGGGAAAGCTTAAGCAGAGTTCTGTTTTTGTTGGCAATTTAATGGAAATGCCCACATGAGATATAATTACTTGGATTAAATAATACTTGGTTGAATTAAGCCACAATTCCCTCAAAGTATGGTTTATTTCTAGACAGCTGCCATTTAGCCTACATTATGTCTGTCTTTAATATATCACAGAGCTCATATTGATACAATATCTATACCAGAAACTTGCTTTCTGGTAGCATGACATATAAACATTTTAATGCAGAGTCCAAATAATTCATTAACATGTAACCATTAGTGGAATAAAGCAAGCATGTCTCATTATCTTATAACTAATTTGACTAAATTTGATTTTACTCTAATTTTTTTCCTTGCATTCCCCTTCCTAGTAAATACGGATCACTACAGTATCATCATTTAATAATTCTTTAGAGCAATTGGTTGATTTAATTGAATTATAAGGGCAGACACAAGTTTACACTCACGAAGCAAGAAAAGGGAGTGACTTAAACATTCACAGATAACAACTGGTAATGGGATGAAATCAAAGGAGAGTGATATCTGAACTAAATGCAACCGAGGACAGGGTTGCCTACAGACTGTCTCCACAGGAACACCCTTACAGCTACCAGACACACCACATTTCCACTGCCTGGCCCAGGAACATCCTTCGGACCAAGCATCTCTGTGCTCTGATCCCACACACACAGGCTCATTGCTCTCAGAAAAGCTGGCATATATATGGTTTGCAGCCAGAACCACTGAGATTATAAACTCAAGAGTTCAGTGCTTTAAAGCCACAATCAAGCATAGAAGCTTTTATGAACAAATTTTGGTGCTATCTGCATAGTAACATTTCCTTCTCTAGTAGCAAGGTCACGGCAAATGTCTCATAAATCAGCTATATTTCCTCATATGAGGCCAAAAAAATAATCTACTAAATCCATTCCCATTTGTTTCATCTTAATCTACTTCCCCAATCCACTCTCACAATTTTGTCAGAGCAGTAACCATGAAAGAACATGATTACGTAATTCCAGCATTGATCTGAGCAGTAAGAGCTATCACTGCCAGCAAAGGGAACAAAAAAGCATGCCTAAAACCCACGGCAGTGTGTAGTCGTCATTACCTGGGAGAAGTTTGCTGCTTTACGACACCAGTCCTCAAGAAAAAACAAATTTTCAAGTTGTTCTGATGTGTTTATTTTCTGTCTTGGTTTTTACATTAAATTAATACACATAATGGCTTTGTTATTGTTACACGGAACAAACTTGTCCAAGAAGTTTCCAGCAGAAAGATGAATGCTCACCAGAACCAAGAAAAAGCCCCCAAGTTTTGATTTTTTTTTTCATTTTTTTCATTTTATGTTTCATTTTTTTCATTTTCATTTCATTGAATTCATCAAATCCAAAACAAATTTGTTTGTTTTCATTTCATTTACACATAGCTAAATAATTCTGCATGTTAAGTATCCTCATAATCAGGTTTGTTTCTCTATAATTTTCCTTCAACCACAGATCAGATTATATAATTTGTTTTAATGCATACTTAACCAATATGTGTTTTTTGGTAAACTTTTAACATTCAAAATATTTGCTTGTTACATTATGTAACAGCACATTACATTTAAATTGCTGGGAAAAACCCTCCCTTTCATTCAGTACTTCCTTTCTAGAATTGCCATCTTTCATGGATATTGAATAACAGATGATTTTACCTGTAGCTTTTGCTTCAAAGGTTGTCATATTTGTAACACGTAAGTCCAGCCAAAAAAAAACCCCAAAATTGTAAAAATAATTCAAAAATCAAATAGAAACCAGTGATTTATTAAGTTGCAGACTGCTTGAACCCCCACACTTTTTTATGCCAAGAAACAAATATCTGGTTCAGCAAAAAAAAGGCAGACCAACAGAGTGCAAATGACTCAGATGGCTGGATAAGATACACAACTATTTTGAATAAAAGATCAAAAATAGGTATGTCTCGCATATACGAGGATTGGGAGAGACAAATCCTTTAAGAAACGGAATATGCCTACTCATACATGCATTTTTATGAATGGAATGAATTTTTTAAGATTGGTGTGTCAAAAAAACAAATGCCGCAGTCTCTAAGGGGGGGCCATTTTATTGTTTGTGACACAGCTGACTTGAAAGACAGTTCACATTTCCTTTCCCTGAACAAAGTTCTGACATGAAGCCACAGAATATTCAAGCCTAAGTGATCTGAAGTTCCCAGTTGTTATAATTAAATCTAACATGAAACCCAAAAATTATTGTGATACAATATAAAGACTAGCATAACAATACTAATCTTCAATAAACCACTAAATTGATTTTACAAATATTGAATAAATCATTTTATTCTAAGCTATGTTTAATATTATGAAGTGAAGACAAGGAAAAGTAAGCACATTATATTAAGAGAAGAGATGTTAATGGATTTCAGTCAAACTCTATCAGTTCTTCAGTACAGACTAAAATCTACTATTATTTTAAGTGTCTGAATTCAGTTTTGTGTTGCAAGTGCAATAACACAAAAAGTGATATTTCTTACCTCCTCTGCACCTTTCTTGGCAAACAGTATACATACATCATTTATGGATATTAAGTTCTGTTGCACACAGGCTAACAATTCTAGGAATAATAGCTACCTACAGCACAGAGGTATATTAAATACCGAGTTGTTTCAGTCATTGTAGACCATGAGCCATGCAACCATCACAACAGCAACTCCGAACACTGGCAGCATAATGAGGTTCTTGTATTTTTGCCATGATGACTGTTCAACTTCTACTTCATCCTTTCTTTTCTTATTCTTTCTTCGCCCTTTTAATCTGTTTTCAAAAGCTTCCAGTTCAGCCTAGGTGAAGAAAACCAGAAGTAGTTGACATTTGTGTCACAGTTAAAAACAAAGAAATGTGCAAATTTTAAATAACATTCCCAAAAAACATTTTATAAAAATAACTGGCAGTCAATGGAAGTTATGTATCTCTTACAGATAAGATGGTAGCACTATGTCCCATAGTTACAAAGCACTTCATTTACAAGTATGAAATCACTGTTTAATTTCCTATTAAAAAATATCGCCAAAAATGCAACCAACTGAAGTTTTACATTAGATTTTTATCTCAAGGCTGACTGTCTTAAACCAAAATGATATTATTTCCATGAAATATGTTAAAATACATTATCCTCCCTATTAAAGAAAAGCACCTGTAAGTATTAAAGCTTACGTATTTATATACATTATGAATAATGTATATAGTAAGTATAGAAAACAGTAACATATATGAAAGGTTATACAACGTATATAAAAGGGTATACAATGTATATAAAAGCAAAGGCTGAAATTTTCAAAGACCTGCTCCCCATAACGATGTGCTCTCCACTAAAAATAAAAATATAAATAAATCTAAATCTATAATCTTTCCCCCACTTCTTTACATTTTGCATGCTCAGCTAAACTACAGATTAACAGCTATAATCTTAGACATGCACAAAAAGATTCCAGCTGTTAAAACTTAACACTTCAGTCACTCATATATGACTGCAGTAGGTACACAGCATCCTTCAGAAGAAAGCACATGCCCTTAGGCCCAAAAAATGAAGCAAAGAAACTGGGAAAAAATAAGAAGAATGCCCAGTTTCAGAATGCCCGGAACAGCAGCTTCAGGGTGATGCCTGGAATGAACAGCAGGATCCTCTGATCCCTGTTCCTTATCCGCCCACTCCCCTCCATCCTTTTAAAATAGTATCACGAAAATACAGACAGAAGTCACTTTAGAGCACAAAGCTGAAATAAACTGGATTTAGGCAGCCTGGAACAAAGAGTGTAAGACTGGGATTTAACTCCAATGAAGAGCCATCTAATTGTTAGCAAAAGCAGAAAAGATGCTCTAAAGGAAAGTTGATACAGACTAAAAACAGAATATGTCTGAAAATTACCTGGATTTTTGGGTAGAGATGACAGCCACTAGAGAAAGCATAGGATGGGAGCTAGGGAGCAGAGACTGGATGAAATAGTTTTAAACTGGAAGAGGACAGATTTAGATTAGATATTGGAAAGAAATTCTTTACTGTGAGGGTGGTGAGACACTGGAACAGATTGTCCAGGGAAGTTGTGGATGCCCCCTCCCTGGCGGGGTTCAAGACCAGGTTGGACAGGGCTTTGGGCAACCTGGTCTAGTGGGAGGTGTCCCTGCCCATAGCAGGGGGGTTGGACTGGATGATCTTTAAGGCCCCTTCCAACCCAAACCATTCAAAACTCATTCCAAACTCATCACCACCTAGAACTACCTAAAGGGAGGTTGTAGAGAGGTGGGTACTGGTCTCTTCTCCCAGGTGATGGAGGATAGAACAAGGGGAAATGGCAGCCAGCTGTGCCAAGGGAGGTTCAGGTTGGAGATAAGGAGGAAGTTCTTTACTGAGAGGGTTGTCAGAGGCTGGAACAGGCTGCGCCGGGAGGGGATGGGGGCACCATCCCCGGATGTATTTAAAAAGCGGGTAGACGAGGTACTTAAGGATATGGTTTAGTGGGTAGACAGGAACGGGTGGACATGATGATCTCAGAGGTCTTTCCCAACCGAGCGATTCTGTGATTCTGTGATTCTACAAAATGAAAGAGAGAGGAGAGATAGGAATAGCAGAGTGCAGCAAGCCAAGTGAAAGGTGTAAGACTGAGCTGGAGCAGAGGAAACGTGGACAGTGAACAGAGAAAGTCTGGCCATGAGAGGAAATAAATCTACATGACTGCTACTGCAGCGCTGCCAGGAAGAGAGGAACTAAAACAATAAGGTAGGTGCACTAAGGAAACAAGAATAAGACTGTTTTGGGAAGTGGGCAGAGTAGTCCAGTAAATACCATTTTCCTTTGGAACTCAAGATTGCCTGATGTCTGGTCGTCTTCTACTGACAGCAAGTATTTGTCAGTTTCACAAAGGGGATCTTACTTCCCCTTCTTGTGCCAGATACCACTGTTAGCAGGAGAAAGGGACCAATTTTGATGTCTATTCCTTTGTACTTAATAAAGGCAGAAATTGCTGGCACTTCTCTGACGATACAGGAGAAAAGTTCAGACACAGATTCACATCCTGATATTTGAAACATGATTACTTTCAACTGGCTAATCTGCCTTTAGAAAAGCAAAGTATTTGAATGAAACAGTTTTTCAAAATCCAAAATCTGGAGGCAAGTGCAGAGTTCTAAAGGTTTCATAGATAATATGGCAGTATTTAATTTTACACACAAGCTAAATAAAATGTGGGGCATCTGTAGTTATTATATCCTTATGATCTGTTAGCTTTAAAAGCAGAATGCTTCATGAATTGCAGTAATCTGAATTAAAATACAGGGCTCTAACAATTATATAACAGGTACTGAACTGCTTTCCTAGTAATCTTCATAATAATCCAGCTAAAAATAAATACCTCACAAAAACCCAAAACATAGAATGAAAAAAGGTTCGTGGGTATGTAATACGAGAAAGATACCATCACTATCCTTGAAAAGCTACCTACAGATTTTATGTAACTGTCACCATTTTCAAAGTGTCACCTCAATGATCTCTGAACAATAAAGTACTGGTTGTGCTCAACCAAACTACATTAATTTTTCAAGCTAAACAAGTTCAATCTTTTATTTAGAATAAGAACCTAACTTCTTTGTGTATAGACATATTACAGAACAATGAAATGCATTTATTTAAATTGTATACTCAAAACAATTTGATGCCAGATAATATCTAGTTTAGCATTGCTCAGGTACTGGATTTTGCTCCTTCACATGTTATTCCCTATATTCTTCCTGCACTGGAAGGAGTAGCAGCCCCATGGGAAAATGTAGCTAAATGAATGCAAATAACTGACAATACAGACAAAAAGCATATATCCTGAAATTCCAGGTCTTATGTTTTAGGTGGGTAGGAGCACTTAACTTTTGTAACTTCTAAGTAGCCTGTAAAACATGTTTCTTTCTAAGAAAAAGAGGAAACAAAATCTTTCATAGAACTCACTAAATTAGAATTCAGGTTTGAGACCTCAACTTTCAGTATTGAAACTCCTTACCATTGCCAGTTAGCTTGAAAATTTAACCAAATCTTTTACACTAGAGTGGGACAGAGCTTGGTCTGAACTGTTAAATAATCAAAGCACTGGTCTTTTTTCCACCTTTAGCAATTGTGAAAACCCTGGCCTCACATGGTGCCTCTGCAGTAGAAGCACAGGGGAAGTTCAGCTGCTATGGCCATGAGGAGAAGCCCAACCAAGCCATCTCCCTTCTACTAAGAATCAAGCAATTCCATCTGTAAATGTTATTAGCAGAAGCTGTTACCAAATATAGCAAATGGCAAAATATAAATGTGCAGACTTACTAGAGCACTAATTAGTTTGTATATAAAGGATTTAATGAAATATTAATCAAAACAGGTCTCAAGAAACTGTGAATAAGAGATGAACTGTCTATATAAAAATGTGCTAATGAGATCAGGAAGGTGGTACAAGATGCAAACTTTTGTCAGAAGGGAGTATACTCAATAAATACTCTTAATGTGACCCAACACCTTATGATAGTGATGTCCTCCAATTTGCATCACTAGATGGCAGATTATGAGATCAAATTGGAAGGGAATTAATTTTAGATAAAGGACTGCAGTAGCTGAGGTTAGTACTTGTGTGCAAATCTAAAGCCTATTTATTAGTTACTATTGTCCTACTTTTTTAATTGTTCTATTTTTTTTAACCATTGTTGTCTTACTGTTTGCTATTGTGCTATATAACTAGCCACTCTTAATTAACCTTTTAATAGGTTTGATTATGTATTAGTGAAGTCTTCCATCCCTGAAGGTGCGTCCAACAAAAAGCGCATGTGCAGAAGCAGTTGCCATATATGCAACTTGTGCATATATGCACAAGGGCACTGCTGGGCTGAAAATGTGAGACTTCAGTGAATGGACAAGCAGAAAGCAACGGTGGTGTGACTGCAGAGAAAAACAGCCACTGCTGGAGAATCAAGACAAAAATAATGTTGTACACTATACTGGTGGAGTGAATCCACGACAGTTTCAGAGGAGCCTCACTACTGAGACTTTACTAGAATGACTGTTAGTTAAGTGATTTTTGAGGCAGAAATCATTAGTAACTGGGACGCGTTCCGGAATGCACAAAAACGCAATCGGTGCAATACAAACACCAGCAACTTTGCATTTCTAGCTCTAGAGTTGTAAGCACATTCTTTACGTGTCTAGGTGTCCATTAGTACACTTCAGTACTTGGATTGCAGAACCACCACTTACAGATTTCCTCTGCCTAACAAAGTGTTTAAGACATCTGTATGCAAGCTGCACTTCCTGACCTATGTCCCAGAACTGACATTTCCAAGGTCATCTTAGAGAGCAAGAAGAATTAGATGAGCTGTCTTTGAGTTGTATGAGGGAATTTGCGATCTGTACTGTAGACAGCTGAGACACAAACATAGCAACAAACATGACAAGATGATCACAAAACAGTGTCTGGTTCCCTGGACAACAGGTACATAACTGCATGCTTTTCCTGTACGGTGATTAGACACACTCCCTTTGAAAACCAAAAATGGGCCTTGCTAAAGCATTGCTTGGTAGAGATAACACTTTATTAAAGTCTGTAGACAATTAAAGTATATGTAACAGAAGTTGTGACCCAAAGAGAAACTCTACCCTAACAAGATTCGGAGAATGGTACAAGAGGATCGGGTCTGTGAGTAAGCTCCCTGTGCTCCCTTTCAAGCAGGGAGTGAACCAGGGCTCTGCAATAAAAACTGAGACGTGCAGGTGAAAACACAAGTATAACCTAATACATAACTCTTGTGATAACTGAGTAAAAGGAGAGTCAGGAAGCACACACTGGAATGGAATATGATTTGGTGTCAAATGCTCACACATGAACTGACTTGAAGGAGTGCATTAAGGCTGCAGCCTCCAGATGACAAACCTGACCCAGCCGCCGCCACCAACCAAGCTTATGGCTATTGCCTGAAATACGATTTGTACTAAGTGCCTCCAGGCAGCTGGCACAGAAGTTTCTTGGATTACAATGCCGCCAACATACGCTCACCAACAACAGCAATTACAGTAAATACACATTTTTCCCCCCTCCTCAGAGACCTTGAAGGACAAAGACTCATTTAGGCTTCCTCATTCCTTTGTGATGGGAGGGAGAAGGAAGCGTTACCCAATATTTAAATCTTTATGGAGACTATTAGGAATTCTATGAGGTCTATGGATTATAAATATACTTAGTATTTTAAAAATGAACTATACTATACACAGTTACAGTAATGCAAGATTAAACTGATTAATTATACTTTTGCATAAAATTATGAAAATCGCTTGGGAAAACAGGGAAGCTCCTAACAACTGTAAATCATTCACAGCATGCACAGAGTGAGATAACAGCTGACAAGAATGACTGTGCACATCACACTACAAACTATACAGCTTTAGTTGCATGTAAATTAAATTATTTACTAACAAGAACAAGGTAGGGGAGGAAGTGGTGAGGAAGAAGAAAGGTTGATACCTGTTGTCTTCGTTTCTCTTCTTCAATAGCAGCTTTGGCTTCTGCCTCTTTTATCTGTCAAGACACACAAAGCAATAAGAAACTGTTGTAAACAGCAGCTAAACTTATTTTCTTACAGTCAGAATTACTCCTATAGAATGGATCTCAGCAACAGTGAGCAAAACCGCCATTAAGTGAGCTCTTAACTTTCTCAGATTACAAAATATTCTCAGAAAAGGCTGCATCATGTCACATTTGGAAAACGTGGAACATATGATGGATGCTACAAGGTTATAAATTGAACTTCTGACTTCAACTTGGCAAGCTCAGCTGACAAATATAAAACCTAAAAATAATAGTTTGTTCACTAACAACCAGGAAACTTCCTAAAGACAGTTATTCTAAGTTGTCAGCAACTTTATCCTCAATTCAGTACACTTCACATATACAGATAATTCCTATATATGTATATAATTTACATACACATTTCATTTCGAGTACTTAAATATTCCCTGACTACTAGAGCAAAAGGAAATCTCTGCATCTGTACTGAATACAACATATATATTGGATAACATATAACCAAACTGATTTAAAGCCTTTGGTGTAATGCAAACCAAATGTAATTAAAAATGTTCCACCATCAAAAAGTCATATGAAAAGCAGTTATAGGAGCTATAGTTGATAATTCTACAGAAGTGTTTTGTAGTGTTCAAGAAAGCAAATTAAATGCTAGAAATTATTAAGAAAAGAATGGTACAGGAAAAAAATGTCAATACGTAAACATGATGCACTTGAATCTTAGCTCCTGCATCCAGTTTAGGTCTTGCAATAACAAAAGAATGTAAAGCCTGAAAATGTATAAAAGACAAGAAGATGAAGTGGCTTCCATCTAAAGAGATGCATTAACTAGGATTCATCAAGTGACTCACAGGGCACAAAATCCTGAAAGGTGTGAAGATGCCAAATAGAGATAGAACATCAGTAATTATTTTTCATAACACAAAAGCAAAAGGCATAAAATAAAATTACCAGGACGCTGGTTCATAAGAGGGAAGTATTCTACTCCCACACAGTATTCAGCTAAATCTGGAAATGCAGTGCTACAGGATGTTGATAGATGCCAAAAGTTTATGCTGACTGAAAAACAATTAGGCATGCTAACAGGAGATAAATCCAACAAAGACCACTAAGCAGAAAGACACCACCTCAGTCTCTAAAATTCCCATAGTCAGAGACCACTGCAATGATAGTAGTAACAGGAAAAGTATACTGGGGAAGTATATGTGTCTGCCTTCTTGTTTACATTTCTTGGATCTTTAGCATTGCGGCCACTACCTTAGAAAAGTTAGATGTAAAAACCTGATTAATAACTTGAAACGAAAACCAGCCTTGATCCTAATAACTGGTTGATTTGCATACTAACAGTGACAAGAATTTACTAAATATGGTTTGGGCAGGTGAAATTTGTTCCAAACAATTTGCAAGTCAAGAGCTCTTGACAACTAAGGAGAAAGGACACCACCCCACACACAGTGTGCACTGAGGACAGGATCAATAGAACAGTTCTATTTGCAAACAATAATTTAAATTGCTAAACCGTATCTCAAATAAAACCATTATTGAGAACTTCACTAATCTAAATACAATGGCAGAGCCTCTAGAAAAGTGTATAAAAGACCTTTTTAGCCATACACATATGGAATCACAGGCTGGTATGGAAAAAAATGCCCAACCAGCCTCCTGGTATTTCACTGCCATCTAATGGCAGGACTTCAGCTCCAAAAGAAAAAGTGACCCACAGATGTGGAAAAAAGCAACAGAAGAGCTTCTTTTTACATTGGTGTGGTCATATTTGCATAAGACACAGATATAACATATATAGGTAGATGAAGCTTAACCATTATAATCACAGTATGGAAAAACATTTATAGAACTATTTATTTAATAAAATGTACAGTAAAAGATGCATTCAATTCCTCAGAAGTACATACTCACTAGCTGCTATACATGAAGAGATTTATTAAGAGTTAGCACACTGCTTTTGGAAACTGAAGGTTGCTTTGCAGCTGTGCAAACTAAACTGCTTGTAAATGTCTGCAGTTTTCAACAGACTTTTTCCAATCTTGACACATTAAATAGTAATTGACATAATAAACTACTATGTCAAGTGCATATAATAGGAGATTGTTCTAGCATGTCATTTAGCAGTCAACACAGGCTACAAAAAGGTGCCTAGTAAGAGTTTAAATAGAACTTTATACCTTCATATTAAAATCCAAATCAAATAAATCCATGTTCTTCTATGAGAAAGGTACACACAGCTAGGTCGTGCCACACAGTACATCTGTGGCATTGCTTATAGTAGAAACTTGGAGTCATTTACTCATTGCAGTAGACCATTCCTCCCTGTGGATTACAATGTCAGGGGCAAGAAACAGGACTGAGTATCTGCTGAAGTAAAGCAGCTGCTGACACTGCACTGCACCACACTGAGATGTGTTGCTGTGTCCCAGCTCATGCAGTCTCTTGTGAATTCACATTGCTTTAGTGCGCTTCATGTCCTATGAACCTATCTTCACACACTTACTGAAGCTGTTCATAATGGTTTGGATTTTCTAAAGGCATATCCTAAGAGTCTTAGCATTTGACCTGTTTGCCAAATTGCAGAATTTGGTTTATGTGGTACTTGTTAGAAAATGCCAATCAATCATCTGAGCAGAAGCAGACAAAAGTTGGCTTTACCCACTGAGTTTTTGGTTTGCAAATTTATTACATCTAGCACTTACCTGACAAAAAACAAGTTATGCACCAACTTATAAGAGCAAGGTTGATACTGTGTCTATCTGGGTAACAGCATGCAGCAACTCCTTTACTTCATAAACCAGCAGAACTAGGAAGAAGGTACATTTACAGGAGGCTAAAAAGTATACTGCAATTGCTGAAAGCTCTCCATTTGTCTGGTACAGGGTAACCAACACAGTGACAGGATCACACACCTCATGCTGGACAAGTTGAGCATGAGATGAGTTTTGCAATGAGTTTTGCAATGGCTGCAAAACTTTCACAAGAAAGTGCAAAACTAACACCACTCTGTGAAGTGGCCTGGCCCTAATCCTACAGCATCACTTGTTCTTAGTGGAAGAGGAAAGAACTGGTGCTAACAATTTTTTTTAAAGAGGAAAATAAGAGCATTATTTTAACATAGTATTTCACCGAGTTAATTAACACTCTCTACAAACACTAATTCTCTCCACTAATCCAAATACAAGTCTGAAAAAGTAAATGCTATTAAACAGCACATCTACATATGTTGTGTTTCTTGCTGGCATTGCCTTGAAAAATAATTCTGTGTCTTTTCTCGAGGAACTAAGAAATTATAACTACAACAGACACATTACCTCAGATGCCTTCCGTTTCATTTCCTTGCATAATGCATCGCATTCCAGCGAGACTTGGTTTTCTTGTATCTTGCTGCACTGTATTTCCTGTTAAGTATAATTTGAGTCTTTTACAATCATTTCCCTATATAAAATTTTAGTTATAATGTTCAATTCTTTATAAAAATAATTATAAAACATCCTTATTTGGTAAAACACTGGTTATACAGAAAACAAAGCTAATTATTAAATGTTATTTGAATTCTGTATCAAATTGACCTCTCTTTTCCTTCCTTCTGATATGCTGAAAGCAAGAATATATCAGATAGTCCAGTTAAATTTCTCCTCTCTTCTCTTCTCCCTTGTTTGCCTAAGACAAAGTAAAATAACCTTCTGAACTCTGGCAGAATGAGCTAGCATTCAGTCTTGGTAATTTCATCTACATTCTCTTAACTGGCTGAGATTAGAGGGCAAGGTCTGGTCATGGGGGAAAAAAAAGTTCTCTCTCACACTTCCTTCCCTCCCCTAACATTCAAGAAATAAAAACAAACCAGGTAGTTATCTGTAAGCAGAGAATGTTCAATTTGAAGCCCTTGTTCTGTACATGTCATCCTTTCTCCTGCT